TATATGTATGTGTATGCATAGGCACAACCAAAGGGGGCTGAAGGGGGATTTTTGAAATGCACAATGTAAAGCAAAGAAAAACTTTTGCCGACATAGTCAAACAACGAAATATTTTGAAAGTAAACCATCGAAAATTTTATGGAAGTGCTTTAAGTACTCTTGACTTTGTTCCCATTAGGTTTTTAGAAACACATAAGGTATTTTTACCTGGATCAACGTTGATTTTAAGTATTTTCTTTAATTTATATTTTTTAACTTACCGGAAGAAGAGTATAATTTTTGGTGGACGGAACTAGAGATGAAACAATACGAACAATTTACAAGTACATACTCGATATTTTTCGATCGATACCAAGTAAATTTCCTGCAACAAAGTCGATGTAATGCGACGTATACACGATATATACACGGCCCAACTGTTCGAGTGGAAAAGTAAACTGGGCTCGAATCGTAACGTCCGTTCACGGATCGAAAACCATACGAAATAAAATTACGTGATACGTCAGAAGTATAAGCGGAATGCGATAAAGAACACGTTCACGCATATCATAATTCGAAAACGGTATTGTAACGGGACGAGTAATTTGATATCTTATGTGACGATTCGAGCCCTGGATAAATGTTCAGTACAGACGTTTCAACGCGATATTAAACTCACTGTGTAATTTACTTAAGCTGAAAAGACTAGCGGAGAACACCAAAGGTACGGGGCAGTCTAGCTCTGTTATCGAATAAAATAAACAAAGAAGAGTTCATTAAAAAAATACATTTTTTTAAAACTTGAAATTATTTAAAATATTTAAACGCCATCGTCGCATCTAGTCTGGAGAAAACTAGTTCGCGATATCTAGATACTAGAAAATCGTGCATATTTTAAATGCTTTTAAAAATTTCTTTTAGTAAAATTGCATCTATGTAATAAGGAGAAATTTTTGAAACTGTCGTATTTAAATCTTTGGCTCATGATTTTTGTACATAACGCTACATTTCCACTGGACTGAAATCTTTGGAGAATCTTATATTCCAACAAAAGAAGACTTTATATCAGAAATATTTCATTAGTAAATTTTATTCTTAAACGAAATTTTGCTTTCTATTAATCCTTTCCAAGTAAAAGTATCGATGGTATGGCATGGTATCGTTTCATCCCTAGATGCAACAGAAGTTGTACATTGTTGTAAAATCAACGGCTGGCTCTTGATAATTTTCCTACAAAATGCTCGCAAAATTAATCAAGAACATTCAAGCACGCATTCTCTTGGTATTGTTTCGCATTAATGGACATTTGTATATAAATAATTTATTAATACCCGTTTGTATACAAATTACCAAATACTTCGTGTATGGAGATGCTTAGGAACTCAAGTAAAAAGATTTCGGGTACTAAAAAGTGCTTAATGCTAAAATAAAACGATTAACTAAGTACTAAATTACTAAGGTACCACTTTAACCGTTTTTTTTTAGTTTTTTTTTAAATCTTGATTCTTTTGTATAGCGAATAAATCGAATTTTTACAACCGAATAAACAGGATTTTTTTCATCAATTTTATACATATTTGAATACTGGAAAAATTTTTACTCCTGAAAATATTTAAAAATTAAAACAAACCCAAAAATCACCTGTATAAAAGGCCACATCCAACGCGTTTGGGCTGTAGGGGAAGAGGAATGTTAAATGCCTTGTAGTGACTGTTTAACCTGCTTCAGCATGGAGAGTGGAGTTGTGTCAAAGTATCGAAAATCAAGTCGAGCTCTTCGTCTGAGATAGGTGACGTCGGTCTCCGATGATGGATTTCAAGGGGTAAGAGCTGACGAAGGTGTTGATTGATTCCCGACTCATTCGCACGACAGTCGGTTCTACATGCTCGTGTTTTTCCTGGCAAAGGACTGTTGCTTAGCGATAAGTATGAGTTTTTCATACAATTTTTCTGGTTTTACTTGTGGTTTAAAATACCTCGAATTTATTTTGAATTATCGGTTTCTTTTTTAAAGCTATACCTATTTTAAGTAGTCATTTCTGATTCTGTTAATTAAGTGTTAGCGTAGAGAAAATATGTAAAATAAAACAGGTATATCCGATTTTTACTAATTTGAAAATGGGGAAACGTTTTTTTTTCAATTTGCTTTATTTCGAATAACTCGAGAACCGGTTTCAGAAAAATTCGAATCATCGAACATCCTACTGTTTAGTGTATTTCACGGTATCGTACATTGTTCAGGAAGAAAATATTTTGTAGGCAATCGAGATTTATTTTAATTTTTCAGGGGCTTCTCTGTTCTTAGAATGTTTGTCCACATTTTTTGGAATGCTTCGTGTTTTACTTTTCGAGATCATTCGAGACGTGTCTGGATTCCTTCAGGATATATCGGCATTCCTCGAATTTATTTTTCAGAGTTTTCTCTTATTGATTTCCACAAAAAAAATCTTCCTTCAAAATAACACTTATTTTGTTCGAAGTTATAAAAGTCCGGGACAAAATATTGTCGTAGAAGAAAGTTAACAATGTTTTCATTTCCGTTGTTGGAATTTCCGAACGGTTAGGAGTGTGATGTAATGTGGAATGATTTTCCGTTATCCGTTGTCAAATTTGGTTTGGAGACAAACCGATTTCGGCGTTGTCCCATCTTCAAAGCGAAGAATGATACTGAAGATGGCACAGCTTCGGATGACTGAAAATCATTCCACATTACATCATTATCAATGTTTCTTTGATCCTAGGACCTTCGGGACAAGAGTCCTGGACTCTTTTACTTTTCGAAATTTTTGGAAAAAGTTCAATAATAACAGAAAAAATCTGACTTTTATTTTTATAGTCCATTTTAACAGTTAAACTTGCCCAAAATTTTTTTTAAGGCCCAAACAAAAGTCCTTTCCTAATGCCTCGTATCGAAATTAAACAAATTTCGTATCAAATTAAAGATGACTGACATATCTTTCAAGCAAAAATAGCCACCCAATTAAAAATATGTCAATTAAAAATTTGATTTAATTAACATAGAATAAAAAATATTTGGAAGTTAATATTGAACCGCAACTGAAACAAATATTCAAAAGGCATGGAACAACAGATCTAAACTGGCTGGGAGCATATATGATGCTATCTCCAAACCCATTCTAACACACGATACGCCCATCTGGTGGAAATGCATTCGTCGGGCTCACTGGCGCGATGAGAACAACACCACCAGCCGCGGTTTTCGAGGTACTTCCTGACCTACATTCCTTCAAAATGAGAGAATAAAAGAGGAACTGTAACCAATAATACGTCAATGAAAGTTATAAACTCTTAAAAAAAGGAAATATTTATAGTTCATCTAAATTTTTCGATTGCCAATTCATATTCAAAAGACCCCCTTGCTGCCTATGTTTTATGCATTTACTCGTTACCTTTACACACTTTATTTATGCACAACTTTTAGATAGCCTATTAAATTTAATTGTCTTAACAGTAAAAATTCAATCAAAAGTAAAAACTAATACACAGCTTAATTATGTATTTTTTAATTCTATATATGTGATTTTATTTATTAAATTTTCATAGTGGAATATTTGATTTACCCCTTTGCAGTCAGACATCAAACCTGCAGGAGATAAGATTTTCTGTTTTTTTTGTTTTCTTTGTTTTTTGTATTTTGCTAATTTTTGTAACTTGGCTTCATCCATATCGTCGATGTTTTTGCAAAACCGCCCATCGCCCAATTGCAAAACCGCCTATCTTACGGCACTCAAATTTTACAGGAGAGCGAAAAAAACGGTCTGTTCTTTGAAGGTATTGCCTTGATAAGCGGTATTTTCTCTAGCTATTATTTTACAAATTTGTTGTTTTAATAACGATTTAACGATCTTTATGCATAAATCTCGATGCCTGGATTTCAGGGTTACCAAATCTCATTTTTGCCACAGCGGCGATTTTGCGGCGGTTTTGCAACTGGTCGATGGGCGGTTTTGCAAAAACATCGACGATATGCATATGCTAGGGCAGTAACTATGCGTTTATTCGGGTATCGGTTTGGATAGTCTTGTTTACGGACAAAATCCGGTTAATCGGTTATTATCCATTCCTTTTGTTTTTGTTTGTTATCCGATTATCCGCTTAATATATACATATATATTAATTCTTTTTTCTGCAAAATTTTTATAATTTGGCGTCATACATAAGTATACATTTATGAATTAAGGGCTGAGACTATTCGTACATTCGGATATCCGTATAGATATTCGTGTTTAAGAATAAAATCCGGATATTCGGTTAATATCCATCCCTATTTGTTTTCCGATTATCTGGTTATTATCTGTTGATTCGTTTATCCAGATAATTTAAAATATGTTTGAATGGATTCGTAAAATTATTCTCAAAATTACTGAATCTGTTAAATGGCAAAATAAATAATAAACGCTTCATTAATACACAAACAATCATTATTTTTAGACTCGAAAAACTGGTTAATATGCGTTCATATTGTTATCTGGATATTTGGTCAACACCCATTCGTATTATTATCCAAATACTCGGAGTTTTTAATCGGATATTCGAATATCCGTATTATGCGGATATTCAAAAAGTATGAATATAACATAGTCCTAATACATATGCACTCACCAGAATATGTTTCCGTAAAGTGTCTTTTTGTTTTTGAATATTTCCAAAGTTTTTTGTAAAAATTTGTTTCGTTAATTTTTAATAGAATTATAGTACATTCTACATCAAATGGCATATACATAAATTGATGATTCAAATTTTGGAAAATTCGACAAGTTTTCACAAAAATTTTCTACTTTTAAAAAATTTTGAGAATCTTTTTGAGTATGCAGTTTTGTAGCTCGCTCAATTTCAGTATTATAAAGTTGAAAATTTCGGTAAAAATTTGTCGAATTTTTCAAAATTTTGTAAAAACTTTGAATTAATAATTTATGTGCCATTTGATGCAGAATGAACTATATTTCTATTAAGAATTAACGAAACAAAATTCTACGAAAAACATTTGAAATATTTAAAAAAAAACACTGTACGGAATCATATTCTGGTGCGTGTATGCATATCCTTCTACCACTCCCCTTTTGCCAGGCCAATTTCTTCTTTGCTCAATTTTGATAGCTTACAGCTGTTGCGCTCATTTATAATCGCATTAAATGTAATTATCAATATTTGTTGTTGTGGTTGCGCACGCTTTTTTTTTTACTGCGCTACTGTCTTGTTATATGTTACATGTAAAACATAACGTCCACTTAAAATTACTATAAAAATACAATATAATTAATTAGCCTAGTTTTTCTCATTTATTTATTTATTTACTTCAATTAAGCTGCGAATGCTTCATCTTCTACGCCTTCTTACGTAAATGTTAGTTTACTTTTTCATTTAATTTGTTTACTTTCGTTTTGTTTAATTCAATTAACACATATAATTTGATTTAAGTTATCTGTGAGTGAACACCGTTGCGTTCACCGACCGATAGGAAGTAGCAGAATGTATCCATTGTTGTTGCCTCGCATAATTTTGCAACAACGGCAATTGACTGGGCAACAGCAGCAGATGTTGCCAGCTTTCGTTGCATGCGCCGTGACATAGATTTTCACTTTGCTTCCGTATTTTTTGTTTTTGTATTAGTTGCAGTGCTTGCTGCTGCTCATGTTGTGTTTGTTGTATTTGCCTCCTCTGTTGCCTGTTTATATTTTGTTGGTGCTGTTGCTCTGCACATTTGCCGCTCAATTTGTGCGCACTCACCGCCATTTGATTAAAGAATGCAAATATTGCAATGCATAATTTAACAACAGCAGCTAACATTGCCATTGTTGTTGCGGTTAGTGTTGTCGGTATTGTTGTTGTAGCTGTAATGCTAGCGATTGCCATCAGTAGCATTGCAATTGTTGTTGGTGGTGTATATCTGCGACTGGAGGAGGAGGAAAAGTAGGAGCTGAAAAAATTGGTCATGCTAGAGCCGGAGGAGAGAGTGACTGCAAAAGAGATAAAAGAGGCATATTTATGTACGAATTATTATCTGATAATTTTATTTACGAGATTAGCTTAATTCGAAATTGTTACTTAATTAAATAGTAAGCCAAAAACAATAGTTATTTATCTAACAATTGAAAACATCAATCATGTATGGGTGTTTCCATGATGTCGGACGTGACATTCGTACGACTTCAGAGTTAAATAAATCATACGAAAACGCAAATGACTTATAAAAATAAATTTACGGTTGTGTAGCTTTTATATGCGTCCTTTAATTTGCAAAACATTAAGTGGCTTGGAACACTGGTGTCGGGAAAATCGATCAAAAGTAGGTCATAACGGACGTGACAAAAACCGAAAAGGTTTCAGAGTACAGGTTTTCTTTTCTTAAACATTCTTTAAATAAAATTGATTTACAGTCATACTTTTTGAAATATTGCACATTGCGTCTTGAAATTTTCACCACAAATGTAAATGTATATGTGACCTGGTCTACGGAAAGGGGGCTTAGGTGTCAAAAAATCAATTTTCACTTTTGGGTTGATTCGGATGGAAGATGAGATGCTTTTTCACGTGGTGAAAAGCAGAAAATCCTAACTTGCTTAGAAGTGTACTAAAAGTGTTACTTTTTTAAATGTTCCACACTAGCAACTTACACGATGAACTATAATAATATTCCGACCAACAACAACACTTACTGGACCAACAACAACACTTACTGGACCAACAACAACACTTACTGGACCAACAACAACACTTACTGGACGTCCGGGGCGGAGAACAATTAACGAGATAATGAGAAACTGACGAAACGAGTTGCTTACTTTTAACAGCTTTTTCACAGAAAACTAGTTTTCGCACGTAAGCTCCCTTTTCGTAGACCAGGTCACATATAAATAGTAAATTTTTGAAAAGAGTCCTTTACCCCAGCGCCGATATCTTCGATATACAGAAAATTGCAATGAAAAAAAATAAACTTTAAACTGCATGATGATTCTTCATGTACTGTGGTTTGTTAAAATAAATTGCTTGAATGGGCATTTGCAATAACTTCAAAATAAAGCTGCGAAACAATTTTTGTTAGTGAAGAGTGATTCTATCGAAATCAACAATTAAATGTAAATTTTTTACCTTTGGTCCTCAAATTGCCAATTGTAGAAGATTTTTCCCTTCTGAAACAAAGTTACGGAGCAAATGTTGTTAACGAAAGGATATTCTGCCGAAATCGACAATAAAATATTTATAAAATATTTATAAAATATTTATTTTGTTAACCTAAGTCCCAAAACCGCCACGCCCAGTTCTAGGGGTTTGTCGACTTTAGCAAAAATTTCCTAGAACAAATATTCTTACGGCATGGGTATTCTATCAGACTCCACGATATAACTAACATTACAAAAACACGTTAAATTTGATAGAGTCCATAAGTTTTTCCAAAAAGTCATGTAGTAAATATGTACATTAGGGTGGTTAAAAACAAAGTAATGTCGGAATTTTAATGCTCTCACCCCCTATGATTGTTCTTTATCGAAAAAAAATTAAGATAGCGGTATACTTTTTCAGTATAGAACAATCCTAAGGGGTGAGAGCATAGAAATTCCGATTTCATGAGTTCTTCTTTTTACTAGAAATTTAACAGTTTTTGACCTAATGTTTCTATTGAACATTAGCAAATAGCTTACTAAATGTAAAGTCCAAGTAGCCATTTATGACCTGCAATGTCCCACCTATACCAGGTATAGTTCTATAGCCCTTGTAAGCCCTTATAATTTTGCCTTTAATCAATTAAATTTTGAAAATTTTATTATGAATTTTAATAACTCCATAATTTATGCTCATAATTAAAGCAAAAGCATTCTCGAAGCCTTTACTGCCTTTTTTACGTATGTATCTACTCCTATTGTCGCTAATTACATTATGAATCTCAAAGCTTACTATTTACAATGTAAATGCAGTTCTCTACTAAACTCTCCAAAAACACACTCACCTCTCGCTGGCACCGGATCCTTTTGTGGTGTGCCCAATTCAATTTCCTTATACTCCTGATACAAATCACCAATTTGTGCTGTACAACGCAAAACCAAACTGCCAACATTGCTCCCACCATTGCTGCCAGCAGCTTGCCCATGCACGGAGTTCATGCCGTAACCGCTGCCAAAGCCACTGCCGCCATTGTAACCGCCACCGCTATGCTGCAATGATGGATTTCCGCTGACGAAGTGAATGCCTTGCAGTTGTAATTTTAAGCTGATGCGAGATGCCATCAAATTGTCAATAGTGCGAATGTATTGTGTTTCCGAAGTGCCAACCTATAGTGGGGAAAAAGAAAAGAGAAAAAGAGATAGCGAGCATTAGAAGCGAACGAGAACCAAGGGAATGTAAAACACTAAGTAATTGGGTTGCATAGACGCAAGCAATCACGCAGTTGGCAAAAATTAAAATCGAAATCCCAAATTTGTGGAATGAATAGCGCAAATGGTGAAGCCGTTTTGGAGTTTGTTTCAAGGTTGTTGCGAATATTAAGCCGAAATAAAAGTCCTTTCCGGATAATAATCAGAACCGCCTGTCCAAATGAAACAAATTTTGTATTATATGAAAGAGCACTGAAATAGCTTTTAAACTGAAACAACGAACGACACCTATTTATATGTTATTTATAATTCAATACTAAAGAAATGCATATACCTGACTCAAGGTTTGTTCTATGGTAATTAATTAATTTCAGTTTCCTCTTTTATTTGATACCAAACTTGTTTAATTTGGATAAGCGGTATGTTTTTTTTATCCGGAAAGGACTTTTCTTTCGGAATAATATTCGCAACAACCCTGGTTTGTTTTACTTAAACTGAGCAGAGTACTCGTTTATGTTGCAGTTGTTGCAAGCTTAATTGTAGCGTCATTTACCATCTTTGTTTCTTGTAAAGCGTGTTTGTTTGGATAATTAAAGCTTTCAACACATATGGGAAATCGTTGTCCGTTGTAAGGGCATAATCACAGACATCTGATCGGAATTCACGCTAAAAAGACATTTTATTTCATTTAATTTCCAATGCTTTAAATCGTTTAGTGCAATTTGTGTAAAAAAGTAAGTATTTGAGTTGAGCTTCTGGCATTTGTTGTTTAACAAAAGACTTTCTCTTTCAGATATCAAATCGAAGCGCAATTTACTCTGATTTCGAAGGAAAAACTGAAGAAAGCAAAACTAACTGCAGGCATTGTCGAAGTTTCATAAACATTCTTTCGTAATTTTTTGATTTTGTTATAAAACATACATACATTTTTGTTATTCTGTTACTCAGCTCTCATACTTCCAAACTAGTTCAATTAAGCGAACTATAGCTCAATAAGGTGAACGAACTAAGAATCAGAAGAGCTTGTTTCTTGAGCTGAACGAACTAGAAGTGAACTAATCTTTAAAATGAACTAAAAAGTTTAACTCAAGGTGCGGCTAAATGCGTCACTGTTCAGATGTGTTCCAAGGTACTTGGTGCACTCGTAGATAGTATCTATTGTAGATATTGTAGATATTGTAGATCTAGTAGATAGTGTCTATTTACTTTCAATGAAAAAAATAATTACCCAAAAAGGTTAATCTAAAGAGGATATATGTATTTTAATTTAACCACAGGGCCTCATTTCAGCCCGCTTGTATGTATTGAGATTCAGAAATATGAACAAATTGTTGCCGTCCCTAAATTTAGTTAGGTTTTTTTATCGAACTCAGCTGCCATGGCAAGAGAGACTAGAAAAAATCAGAAACAAATAAATGTTTAATATGTATTCGTATTATGTTCGAAATGTTTTTTACACATATGGGCAATTCTCACATGCTTCAAATATTTTTTTGTGAATTTTTTTTTTACAACATCCAACGTGGTACAACTTTTAAAAGCAATGCATAATACGTTTTTAACGTTTTTTAAGTTATTTTTTATTTTTATTATTTTTTTTTTTGAAATCGAAATTGGGCGTAATTTTAGTCCAATTTCGAAAATTTTCAAGATATAGTCTTTTTATGCCAAGGTAATGATTGTAATAGGTTTTCTACAAATTGATAAATCGGTTACAGAGATACACATATCTTCAGTGAACTAAGCAAGTTTTGGCTATTTTTCTTTAGTTTATTTAATGTTTATTTTTTATAAAAGTATAGGCGATTACTTAATAAACACGATGTAAATCCAAATTTCAGACTTTGTGCAAAAAATTATGAAAAATCTGCAAAATTTTACCGAAATTTCTAACTTCCTGAACAGCATCTTTAGCCAAAAATTTGGTATTCAGGTTTGTAGCCCATTAAATTTTAGCAAGCAAATTGCAAATTTTAAGTAACTTGGGCTTACCGTTGATTTTTTGGATTTCGATACCTTTCACGAGCATGAAATGGTACTATAACTTTGGTCCGGACTGTTACCACCCATTATTAAAATAATACTTTCCGTGAAAATCGGGTCACTATAACCTATAGCCTCCATACAACTGATTGTTCAGATATGAGATTCTTTGTTATAACTTCTCCATATATGCAGCTAGAAACATGAAAATTCGCACTATTTTCACTCATTATCAACAGAAAGTTTACAGTAAAATTTACAAAAATTAACAAAGCGGGTCACCATATCTAACCTATTTATTGCCTCCATATAACTGATTGTTCAGATATGGGTTTTTACTCTAAAACTCCTTTATTTGGGCAGCTAAAACCGATAAATTTCCTAAGATATTTTATAAATAATAATACAAAGTCTACTGAGAAATTTGTCAAAATCTATGCTGTATAAGCTTTATCTCCTATACCACTGATTGTTCAGATACCAGTTTTTGCTATATATATCCTTTATGTAGAAAGCTAAACCCATTAAATTGTGTTACCGGTTTACATACCGATCACACAGCAATGAAAATCACTTAGATTGGTGCTATATAAGGTATATTTCCCATAACTCTGATTTTTTAGATATAATTTTTTATATATGTATCTCCTTCATCTATGTATGATGTGAAAATATAAATTTTTTCAAATGCTGTAATCTGTTTAAATAAAATTTTCAGATATTCATGAAAGGTATGAAGCCTTCGGCATAGCCGAAGACAGCGCTACTCTTACTTATTTTTAATCAAATACAAACCACATACTCGTACGTAGACGTGGTAATCAAATACCTTTTGAAATTAAGAAAGCAAGTCTGAGCGCACTTGATTTATGTGTAGTCATTTGATCGATACAAAGTAATTTATGCTATAAGATGAACGCCGTTTAAACAACTGATTTATAATAAATAATATTATATGAGCAAAAGTGAATTTTCTCGTAGTACTTGTTTTGTTAAAAAGTAACGAAGTTTTCAAAATATCCGCGAATAGCGACCTTTTATTTAATGAGAAAAGCTTTTCAATGGGATTACCACTACTAGAGATAAATGAAATTTAGTAAAACCACTTTTCCAAGAACTCTCGAAAAATGTGTTACTTCCATGCTGATGTTGGTTAATTCTGCCAATTTATTTTTGAAAAAGTTTCATTCATACCTTGTTGGCCAAACATTACTCGACTTTGGGCTATTTTTAACGTAAAATTTTTTCTTTAAGCTTAAGAATATTGAGCTGCTTAGTTTTTGTAAGTATTTATATATTTGCTTAAATTTGTGTGCGAACTGCATTTAGGTTTAATCAAAATAGTTGAAATTTTTTTTATATGTGTACCTCAACTTTAAGTTAACTGCAAATAGGCGAAATACATACTCAAAATTTATTTCACTAACAATGCAATGCAACTACGCATAAATTCGCTTTCATTTGCTAGTAGTCCTTTTCGTAATTCAAGTTCCAAATGCCCTTGTTTTGTATGTATGTATGTATGTACGACCGAAATGCGAGCCGAATCAAAATCAAATTTTTATGCTCCAATAAGCTCATTGCATTTCCTGGCAACGAAGTTGAAAAGTATTTTCACAGTTTGCTATGCTATTACCCTTATTTCAGTTGCATCGGAAAAGCGAAATTGTAGCACCTTTGTGTTTTATGTATGTAGTACTTTTCTGTTTGTACATACTCGTATTTCGTAGAAAGTGATTGTATGTATGAGTATTAGTGATAACAATGTAAAAATCGCAGTTACACTAGTAACATGCACATGCATTCGCAAGTGAATAGCGCAACCGTCAATCAGTCAGCAACTCAGTTATTCTAGCAAGAATTCAGAGTCGACTAACAATTTGTGCAAAACAAAATAAGTCAAAAAACAAAAAAAAAAAAACGTTGAAAGCTGCAGCTGAAAGCAACAACTGAAAAGGGCATTGTTTGCAAATTGCATTTTCTGTAAACACTGCAGTTAAGAACAAAGGCGTGCTTGGCAGCAAATAGTTATGCACGAATGTAGATATATATATATCGCTTCAAATGACTTCCAGAAGAAGGGTTTGAAAATTAAAGTTTGACTTTACTGTAATGCCTCATTAGTTTTTTAACAGCAAGAAAGTTTTTGAATTCATGTTGCTCATATTACTTCCTATAGGGTTACAGGCTTCAAAGCAATCTCTTTCAATTTCGTTTTGGTGTAGCGAAATTCTATCGAAGAACAGTCTCGTTGATGATATTGAGTTTGAGATGTGGTAATACTAATTTAATAAAGAGGTAATGTGGGGATTTCCGTGTGATGAGCTTGCATAAAAATATGCAGTTTCGAGCTCAATCATAATCAGAAATCTCACATCCCAAGAGACTTCGCCTCCATGGCGAGATATGTTCACACCACGAGAGACCTTAAACATAATGCGTTATATTATTAAACAAGACCTCGACCATACGTAACGAGTTACTAACCAGCTTGCTGTAAACTAGCTCAGAGTATCAGCTGTAGGGCAAGGCTACATTCTGCCTGTATCATATCGCAAATAAATTGTAATGATGATTTAATTTATCGAACAAATTATACATTTATTTTACTTACGATTTGATACAACTTTCATATAAGAAATACATTCTATTTTTTGGATTTAGACAGCTTAAACCACAAAACTACATATATACGGATCAAGTACATATACATATATGACCTTCTGAGGGTATCTTCATGATCGGTGCTCTATAAGGTACACATGCCACACCGCTGATTAATCAAGCATAGTTTTGTATTACAAATCCTCCATTTACACAGATTCAGCTGTGAAATTTTACTTATAAATCATACAAGGCTTTCTGGGGAAACATCGACCTCTATAAGATATACCTCCCAAAGCTAATTAAGCTGTTACTGTTAGAGATAACCGAGCACTAAAATTTAGATACATAACTTAAGTTTTTCAAAATTT